ATAGAATTGGGCTCACAATGCATGGGCAGGGTGAGGTTGGTTTGAACCATAAAGGGCATAGGTTTTGAATAGTGTAGACACTAATTAAGGTGGTAAAACATACACACAGGAGCAAGTAATAATTTAAGACAGTAGTATGCATTATTATATGCATCACAGGGCCTTATATGATTAAGGTGAGAGACCAAAGCTCTGAATAAGACCAGTCCCATTACCCTTCCCTTTCAACATCCTGGGAACCTTGAGCACCTGTTCTACTCTTCTGCTTTCAGCCTCTTTGTCTCAACTGGATCTTCTCATCGCCTTGACACATACTCAGGTTCTGTTTACAAACTATACAAAGAAACCCTCCTGTCCTTTTTCCTTCTCCAGTTGCTATTCTCTTTCCTCCCCTTCATACCTAGACGTGTCTAGGATTGTCCTTGTTCAGTCTTCATTTTTAATGATTTCCTCTTATTTCTTAACCAAGTCCGAACTGAATTCTGTCTCATTTAGTCCACAAAACAGTTCTCGTTGAGTTCCTCAATAACCTTCACAGTGGGCATTTTAGTACTATCACTTGACCTTTCCGTGGCACTTTAAGGTTATTGTTTACTTCTCTGAAAACTATTCTGTCTCTTATATGGTATTCATCCTTCTCAACACAACTGTCAAATGTTGAACTTCCTCAAGGATCAATCCTAGGCCCACATCTCTTCCTCCTTTGTGCTATCTCCCTGGACCGTTCACCACTCCATGTTCACAACTGAAGTTACTTCCTACTTAGAAGTAACTCACCACCCCACAGGTCCTCTCTGAGCTACAGACACACATGTCCACTCCACCTGGACATTTCTTTTAGATGTCACTCAGGGTTGTCAAGTTCAATGCATCCACAACCAAACTAGTTATTGTTGACTCCTGATGTGGACCCTCATACACTGACGTTCCTTCAATGGCCTTGTTCAGCCTCAACTCAGAAAATGAAACTATCATAAAGATTGTAATTTTCAAACATATTTAAAAAATCTCATTTCATAATCGATATCTAACTTTAATGTACTGTGGCCAGAGAACTTGTGTGCTATCTTTTTTTTTGATATTTGTTGAGATGACCTTTGTGGCCTAATACATGGTCAATTTTAGCTTATGTACCCTGTGTACTTGTAAAGAACGCTGTGGCAGATTGCATTTTCCAAACGTAGTGGCACCAATGCATTCATTATTCCCATGTGCTTTTCCTGCAGTGTGCCTGACACTCCTCCTACTGAGTGATGGAGTCTTTGTTCTCTTCCCTTGAATCTGGGTGGGGGTTTGTGACTGCCCTGACCAGTGGAGTGCTGTGTAAATGGTGTTAATGGGACTTCCAAGCCTCGGTCATAGGGAATACATATTCTGCCTGGCACTCTTCCTGGCAGCTCTTGCCTTTGAGACTGAGCCACCATGTTGTGATGAGACCTACACGATGAAACCACATGTAGGTATGTCAGCTGATAGCCCCAGCTAAGGTCTCAGCTAACCCTCAGTAGCAACTGGCAGACATTTGAGGGGATGAGCCTTTAGATGATTCCCGCCCCCGACTTTCAATTCTTCTAGCTGAGGCCTTAAGCATTGTAACATACAGAAAAGCTGGCTCATTGTACCCTGTCAGAATTCCTGTTCCGTAGAAACCATAAAAGATAATAAATTATTATTTTTAAATAATTAATTCTTGGGTATTTTGTTATATAGCAATAGGTAGCCAATGCAAATTTCTGTTATATTATTGCTAACATCTATTTTGCTTAATATTAACTTATTTCCACCAGGTTTCTTTTGTTTCCTGTTTGCTTGGTGTATAGTTTTCTATCTTTTTCTTTCAAACTCTCTTTATGTTTTAGATGTGTTTCTTATAAGCATCATATAGCAAGGTTTAAAAAAATCAATTTCTTCATGTTTTTCATTCTAGAAAATTTACATTCATTAGCTTTTGATATTGATATTGGTCTTCTCCCTTTCTTTTGAGCTTGGATATATATATATATATATATATATATATATATATATATATATATATATACACACATATATATATGTAAAAATTTAAATCTTATACATATATATAAACTTTTAAATATATAATATGTATATAATTTTAAATATATATACCTAAAATTTTGTTTAGCATTTCTGTGTGTTTGAAGTAGAAAGGGATATAGCTCAATCTCTATGTTGTCAAATCATAAATTTTTCAGATTTTACAAAATGTAATATACTGTTGAATCTTCCCCAAATTATATTTTCCCCAACTCTATTGCAACTCACATAACACAGGGGGAAGGAGAAACTTAACGCTGTTGTCCCATGGAGGGGCCTTATCTGCTGCATTAATACTCCGAGGTTTACTTCACAGCCCAGAAGCCTTGCTCTTTGGTGATCATGCATCAGTGATAATGGGCTCTCTGGTGAGATAAAGGGATAAAGGGGATGTGGAGGGAAATAGCCAGTAAGGACCAAAGCAGTTGTTTAGGACATTGAAGGGAAGAACCATGAGAAAACCATGGGGTATTGGCCATTCCCATGGTTTCTATACTTTTAGAAAATGTTAGGACCTAGCCGAGAATGAGGCGTATTCCAATTATTTTTCACCATGGAGTCACCATATGAGTAATGGTGGACTGCTATAGAATCAGCCCCTTGAAACCTTAAGTTATTGCTGTTGCTTAGCAAACCTGACTTACCACATCTCTTATGTTGAATTATGTGTGGTCTGTACATAGTATGTTTTGGTCACAGGGAGCTTAATTTAACATGTCAAGATTTGATATGAAATGCCAAGTGTGGCTTCCTCTGTTTTGTGAGTTTCTCTCTACTGAGAGAAGGCTACACGCTACCTCAAGAAAGGGAGATTGAACCTCTAAGCTTGCACATCTATATAATAGTTCCCCTTTATCAACGGTTTCACTTTCTGTGGTTTCAGTATACTGAGGTCAACAGTGGCCTGAAAATATTAAGTGGAAGTTTCCATAAATAAACAATCTGTAAGTTTTGTGTGAGGAGTGTGATGAAATCTTGTGCCATCCTGCCTGGGACGTGGATCACCCCTTTGTCCAGTGTCTCCACCCTGTATAGGCTCCTTGCCTGTTAGTCACTTAGTAACCAAGTAGGATGTCAGATCAGCTGTCATAGGATTGGCAGTGCTTGTGTTCAAGTCACCCTTATTTTACTTAATAATGGCCTCAAAGCCCAAGAGAGTGATGCTGGCAATTCAGATATGCCAAAGAGAAGCCGTAAATTTCTTTCTTTAAGTTAAAAGGTGAAAGTTCTTTTTTGTTGTTTTTTTTTAAGATTTTATTGGGGAATTGGGAGAGGGGAACAGCCACGCTGTTGTCCTTCAATCTTAGTTGTGGAGGGCTCAGCTAGCTCAGCTCCAAGTCCAGTCATGCTGCTCAGCTCAAGGTGCTGTGTTCAATTAGTTGCGGGTGGGCATAGCCATCATTCCATGCGGGAGTCGAACAGGCAGCCTTGTTGTTAAGAACGCATGCTCTATCCACTGAGCCATCTGGGTGGCAGCTCAGCTCAAGGTGCCGAGTTCAGTCTTAGTTGTGGGCAGGCATAGCCCATCTTTTCAAACAGGTAACCTTGTTAGGAGCATGTGCTCTCACCAGCTGAGTCATCCTGCCACCTGTTGGCAGCTCAGCAGCAGCTCAGCTCAGGCACAGCTCACTGGCCCATGTGGGAATCGAACTGGCGACCCTATGGCTCAGAGCTTGCACTCTTGAGCCAGCTCTTAACCAACTAAGCCACTCGGCCAGCCTCAAAAAGTGAAAGTTGTTGACTTAATAAGGAAAGAAAAAAAATCATATGCTAGGTTTCTAAGATCTAGAGTAAGAATGCATCTTCTATTTGTGAAATTCTGAAGATGGAAGAAGAAATTTATGCTACAATAGTTTGCTGAGAGAGAAAAACCACACTCATGTAACTTTTTTTTTATTGTTAGTTTCAGGTGTACAGAACAATGCAATAATTATCCTTTTCACCCTCACAAAGTAACAACCCCCCTACCCCATCTACTGCCCTCCCACCCCCGATATCATGCTTATCTATTACAATTCCATTGACTCCATTCTCACTCTCTACTCCACGTCCTGTGACTATATGTATATATAATTATAGTTGACATACAATATTATTCAACCTCAGCTTCAGAAATACAGTACGGTGGTCAGACCTCTACACCGACTGTGAAGTGGTCTCCCCCACAAGACATGAGTCCATCTGGCCCCCTAAGAAATATTTACAACATTATTGATTATATTCCCCGGACTGTCTTTTTCTATCCCTGATCATGTGACTTTTATCACAGTATATTGTTATAATTGTTCTATTTTATTATTACTTTTGTTGATCTGTTACTGTTCCTAAAATGTAAATTAAACTTTGTCATGGTATGCATGTGTAGGGAAAACCATAGTACATATTGGGTTCAGTACTATCTGCAGCTTCAGACATCCAGTGGAGGTCTTGGAGCACGCCCCCCCCATGGATAAGGATAAGGGGGTACTCATGAGGCAAGTGTGAGATCTGTATTGGGAGGGCCATGTGCCTCAGATAAATGGAATAGGCTCCCCCGAGTAAAACTTTTGCAGGGAAATGGAAATAGAGTGTGCAAGAAAGATGACACTAAAAGAAATAAATGCTTGGTCAGATTGAGTATGCTGCATAATATTTAATTTGATTTTCATCTCTGCACTTTATAAGCCATCCCTATTCTGTTGAATTCACATCCCAAAAGATTTGACTGCAGATCTGGCCAGGTTTGTGTTATGCGATTCTGGGTAGATGTGTGTGCCGTTTTCAGTTTATAAGTGTTTTTTTCTGTCCTCTCTTGCGGGAGGCATGAGGCACAAGTTTTGTCAACGGTTGATTTGGCTAGCACCACAGACCATGGCATATGGAAATTCTACTTAGAGGCATGGAGAGAAAACATTTGGTGTTTTACTCGCAGATAACTTAGTGCTTTGATTTTTATCTCTTTGTAGCTTTGAAGCTCAGCAAAGAAGGGAATCCATTGAGAGTCGTCTGCAAAGGTAAGTGTATTTATTACATGGCCTTGACAAACATTGCCTTTACAACATTGATTTTTCTTCTATTCGGAGATTTAAAGACTTGGATTAAAGATATAGCTGACAGGACAACTTCCTTAACCATCTGCTCGTCCTCCCTTATAGGCAAAAGTGCTAAGCAATAGTTAGCAGAGAGCAGGAGGAAATAAAATGATGTGCTGAGGGTACCCAAATTCAATTGTATGCCTGCTGACTTTTGCTTTCTTCTCAGCAGTTAAGACATTCCGAGGGAGCTAAGTTTACTAAGATTAATGCTAGATGGAAAAAGAATGCCGTTGTACCACTTCTGGTCAATAGTCAAATAAAACCAGCTGGCCAGATAAAGCACTTAAAATAAAATGCAGAGTGGCATTTCAATTGTGTTGGATGAAATTTATCATGAAAGTCAGTTGTGCAGTTGCGTGGAGGAGCTCATTTTGTGGAAAGAAGAAAGCCAGCCCGTTTGGTGTAGCTAATTTCATTCCACCCAGTCACTGTGGGCCATAAGTGAGTTAGAGGAAATGAACTTCCAAGTTCAAAGCAACGGGAAAAGTACCTACTCAGCCTCCTGTGAAACATTACAATGGAGTCAGATTTTACATGGAAAAATGTAATTGTTTCCTTTTTGCTAGGTATATTTATACGCTTACCGCTGTACAGTATTGTTCTTTGATTCATTGTTTAATTTCTGTTCTGCATGGAGTATTTTAATTTAAAGAATTCATTCTGAGAAATTATAGGGCTGCGGTTTCATCAAGAGTCTTTGGTGGTCAGGGTGAAATATGCCGTAATTATACTTTTGTTTTCATCATCAATTATGTTTTTGACAATTTTAGGTTCTTTTTTGTCGTTTTTATTATAGCAATCATGACTGTGACCACTTTAGTTAAAGTTGAAAAGCCATTTTGATTTACCTTATATTTTAAGTTATTCCTAACTTTGTGACAAAGCTACTTCTGGGGCTGAATTTTTAATGTTTATTTTGAGGGAGAAAAAGAAGTTTACAGGGAAATTGGAGAAAACCCCGTTTGAATAATCAAAACATGAGCTGGGTAAACAGTGTTTTGAGAATTTGCTTTGGGATGAGTAAGCTCTGTGCATGAGAGCTGGTTTGCTTAGGATTTTTCTGTAATGGTTGACCACTAGTGAAGAAAAAAACTATCTTAAGAAGTTGATAATTCTTATTTTCAGCCATATAACTTACATATCTCTGCACCATTGAGCCACATCTTGGAATAAAGCAGTACATGAAAACCCTAGAAAAAACTTCTCATAAATTATTGGTATTAGTGGCGATGTAGCAATCAATCTTCAGAGCCTTGCAATCTTTAGGTATAATTATGGTCCTCACAGTTTTTTCACACCGGGACAGTCCATTTCCTCCATTTTCAATGAAAATCCTTTGTTACATTCGTATTCTGGAGCTAGACATGGATTTAGTCCTGGTTTGGCTTTTATTAGCTATTGGACCATAGACAAGTTATTTAGCCCCTGTATGTCTCAGTTTCCTCATTCGTGAAATGGCGATAATAATAGTGTTTTCTTAATAAGGTTGTTGTGGAGATTAAATGAGTCATTATGTGTCACAGGCTTAGAGCAGGTCCTGGACCATGGTGAGTACCCAGTAGATGTTAGCTGATGCTGTGCCTTTTGGTATCATTACTTCACCATCAGCAGCAGCGGCCTTAGCATCCTTGTGAAAACATTCATTATATATTCTGAGAAGTCTATTCTTTTTGGAAGGTTCAGGATAATGTTTCCAAAATAAGCATGTTGCTACTAAAGAAGCGCAAATTCTGCTTTGTCTTTAGGAATCAGATGAAAAGATAACTTTCAGGTAATATGAGAAGTGAGGTCTCTGGAAGTAAAAAGTTGTCAGGTTGAAGTTTTGTAGGCATCAGGGCACACACTTTCTTTGGCTGTATGTGGGCAATGACTAATTAATAAAGTCTTAAGAAATTAGTGATCTGCTAGCTAATTAGATTCTTAAGGAATTATTGAAGAAAGACTTTTTTTTTTTTTTGCCTGTATTGTGTCTGTTTTCCTAACAGCACCTTTATTCCCTTTTGAGGTTATTAGACTGGTGGAGCTGTAACCAGGGGCCCTATTCAGGAGCCTACCTTCAGCCTAGGGATGGGGGCATGACCTGTGAGGTTGGTTAAGTGGGTCCTTCTTGGAAGTTGGAACATTGAGCTAAGGGATTCTCCTTTCTCCCAGTGGGCGTTCTCCCTGACGATACCTGCGCTGAGATCCCTGCAGCAGTTTCCATGTCCTGGCCTCCATGTCTGTCCTGGCCACTGATGGTCTCCAAGCCTTATTTGTCTGTCTGCCATGAACTCACGGAGCCCCCAGTTTCCTTCCAGTAATCCTTAAATTAGCCAGTTGGTTTCTGTTTGCACCCATGGGACCCTAACTGGTAGAATAGCTTACACATTTCAGAGCTAGATTTGGAATCAACGGGGTGTGTTTGGAGGTTTACTATTAAAATGCCATTCATTACTTTCTTCTATCAGTGTACGTAGCTGAACATTTTGCAGTGGATTCCAAAAGGTACAGCGTTCTCAATTAGTATTTCAAGAATGGGCTATTTTGCTGGACTCTACTCCAGTGTTTGGTAAAAAGAAGTCACTTTTGACTGCTTCTTCAAGCTCTGAAAAGATGTATTTAATATATGTATGTGGGGGCAGCATTGGAAGTGAGACGCAGAGGGGTCACTCCTTCCAATTTCTGGGGCTCTGGTCTCTTTGTGGCATGGAGATTATGAGGGACTGTGATTTCCTTCTTCTTACCCCAGCTTCCCAAAACAAAACTCTTCAAATATTTTCCTTCTTTTCCCTGAACTTTTATTCCTGTTTTGAACACTTTTCTCATCCTACTGAACACCTTCTTTTCAATGGTGTGTAAAATGTGATTGAAAACTCAATTACTTCGGTCTCTGGCATTGCTCGTGGTTTCCTCAGAATGGAATGGGCAAGTTCGCTCTATTTCCCCTTGTGTCTTGTTTGTTGACTACTTCTGTGTTCTGTGCAGTGCCTAGAACAAAGCTGGTTAATGATTTTTTTCTCGGGGACATCAGTTTTGCCCTCCCGTTGTGAATAAATAACACAACAGCACTCTATGATGAAAAGAACTTTAGCTGAATTGTTGGGAAACAGACCTTCCAGTTTGGGCCCTGCTGCTGATAGCTTTATGACTCTGGGTGACATACCTCACATTTCTTAAGGTTTTAGGATGCTCAACTGTAAAATCAGGACAGCCTTTGCCCTATCTGCTGCACAGAGCTGTTTGAGGGTGGCATAAAGGTAATGTATGTAAGAGTGCATAGCAAATTGTAAAGCGCTGCATAACATCAATGTATTATTATTAATTGTTATTGTTATTATGCCACATATATTTATTAAACCGATTGAGAAACCAAGGGCTTGTTTTATGAAGCTGAATAGGAAAGGGCGGTAAATTGAAAAACAAAAATCAAAACAAAACTCTTCCCATAGCGCGGGTGCTGCATGCTTTTATCAGTGCCTCCTGCTCCTCTGGCTCTGTGCTCCAGGAGGCTAGCCTCTATGGTCAGCATTCCCCAGACTGCCTTGCTCTCTGGCTATCCTTTGGATTAGCCGGTGAAAATCTGAGAATTCAAGGCTGGAATGTTATTATTCCCTCCCTTCCTTGCAGCACTGGTGGTTGTCTGGCTGTATTCCTCTAAGGCAGCGGTTCTCAACCTTCGTAATGCCGCGACCCCTTCATACAGTTCCTCATGTTGTGGTGACCCCCAAACCATAGAATTATTTTTGTTGCTACTCTATAACTGTCATTTTGCTACTGTTATGAATCGTAATGTAAGTATCTTTTTTGTTTTCCGATGGTCTTAGGCGACCCCTGTTGACCACAGGTTGAGAACCGCTGCTCTAAGGGAAGCCGCAGTTCCTGTAGGGAGCTTCTCTTCTGCAGCTCTAGCTCTTTCCACCACCTGGTAACTGGTATTTCCCTTTCTCCTTGAAGTCGGAGGTGGTAATGGTTTTATTTTTGCTAACTCCAGGGTACTGGACTGCCCCTTCTGGGTTTCCCTTAACCTTGCCCTCACCCTTCATGAAATTCACCTCAGTTACCCCAGGTGAAGGTACTGTCTCTTTCCTGCTGCGACTTTAGTTACACAAAGGAAGTTCTTTGTATTTCTTTCTGCCATTTTCAATTCAATTCAGTTCAATTCAACAAATATCTTTTTAGGACTTACAATGTGGCAGGGACATAGTAAGTGTTTATTGTACACTTTCAAGAACTGGACATTTTGGTGGTACAATTGGAGGGATTAAATCAGTCAGTTTTTTGGTTTTCTGTTTTTTTCAAATTGTGGAATTGGGGGAGGGGAAAAGTGCTGGGAAATTGGGGAAGGGGACCAGCCAAGTTGTTGTTCTTCAATCTTAGTTGTGGAGGGCGCCAGTCACCATCTGGCTGCCCGTTAGCAGCTTGTAGCCTCTAAGCTCAAGGTGCTGTGTTCAATCTTAGTTGTGGGTGGGCGCAGCCACCATCCCATGCGGGAGTTGAACCAGCAGCCTTGTTATTAAGAGCGCACTTTCTATCCACTGAGCTATCCTGGTGGCAGCTCAGCTCAAGGTGCCAAATTCAGTCTTAGTTGCGGGCAGGTGTAGCCCACCATCGAATAGGCAGTCTTGTTGTTAGGAGCACACGCTCTCACCAGCTGAGCCATCCTGCCACCTGTTGGCAGCTCAGCGGCAGCTCAGCTCTGGTGCAGCGTCACTGGCCCATGTGGGAATCGAACTGGTGACCCCGCTGTTCAGAGCTCATGCTCCTAACCAACTGAGCCACTTGGCCGGCCATAAAAAATTCATTTTTATTTTTATCAAAGCAACATATCTACATTATTTGAATAAACCAGCACTAAAAAGCAAAAATTGAAAAACTCACTACCTTCTTCCTCCTGCTACCTTTCTCGCTGTCTTCTGAGCCCTCCCCCAGAATCAGCATCT